GATGGGGACAATTCCGCTAGGGATTAGAGCCTATCCCAAAGACCCCATCGGTTAACCTCATCCAAGTAACCCCAGAAGCCTCTTCCGGTCAGGACATGGATCTTTGGCTATAAAAAGGTACTTCCCGCTCAAGGTAAGGGATCTAACTCTTGACTCCCATACTGTTACTCTACTCGGACCAGCATTGTTCTCCAACTGCTTGGCCCGACCACCCACCGTTTTCTACTAACTTGAGCGTTGGAGTATCTACCCGGGGAGAACTCCTCGGGCTTCTGACAATTTCTTGGTTTCAGATCTTAGAGCGAGGCTTCGTCCTTTCACCTCAGCTCCGCCCAGTTGGCAGGATTATCTGACTGCGAACTCGGTTCAAGAACTACCTCAGATTGAGCAGCATCAATGACTATCATCAAGGGCCCGATCACTCAACCAACCATTGTTGGCAGTTGAAGTTTGTGATTCAAGATTTGATTGATGTTAACATTATTACTTACTAGGACCTTGTCCAAATGCAACATTTTACAAAAGTCAACTAGAGCCCAATACCCTATTTGAGAGTAGAACTTGACACTTCTATTAATTTCTTGGGTGAAGGAATGACTTTTTATGATCATAACATTCTTGTTTTTTTTTAATCCCAAAATTTACTCCTGGTGGAGGGGTGGCTACAAAAATTTTATTAATAGTGAAGAAAAAAGCCTATGAGGGACGTAAATACCTTACCCCTTTGAAAAGATATACAAGATGGGAACAACTCATAAATTTTATATAAATTGGAGGTTCGAGACCTATACTCATGAAAAACTAAGAAAACTAAGAAAAGAAATATAAGGAAAACCAATTTTATCAACATTCAAAATGGGAGAAATGTGAGAGGGTAAACTATCCACATAATAAAAAAATCGTAGCATTCTTATTATTCCTGTTGGAGCTCTTCTAGTGGCCCATCCCCTTAGAACAAGTCATCAGCCAATTGGACCTCACAACCTTAACCAAAGCATAGTATTAATTCTTCACCAACTCTCAGAGGAGGTAGTCATTATAAAGGGAGAAATTTGATGTCACCGCAACCTCGACCGAGTATAGACAACAATTCTAATTTTGATCTTTAGATGTTTAACCAGGAGCTGATAATAATTTGACTATTTGCCCAACTATTTTAGATGTCAACTCTGATACTAAGGCACCTTCATTGCTTTGATTGTAACTTCTAGAGTAGGGGATCAATGCTCTCTACCCTACTTCCACATTAATCGAGAGCATATTTTTGCCCATGTACATATTCATTATCCCTTTTATGTTTCCATGTCATTCAAATACACACATGGAACTATGCTAAGCTTAATCCTATTCAAAGGAGTACATAGAACACTCATTTCATAGGTGTTAACACCCGATTTTGCTCAATCCACTGTCGGAACCACCAATTTAACCCAAACACCCAATCGGACCCTTTCGACCTCTCTGAAACACCCAAAAAACCAAAAATCCCGAATTTCACCCTAGAGCCCTCAAATCCACCATTAAATCTGCCTGATACCTATCTGATGGTCCTGATCAACCCTCACTTACATCTAAACCATTAGATCAGACACAACCATCAGACCCAGGACCTCCCAAAACACCCACCCATGAAATTTCAGCTCAAGATTCCTCCACTTACCCTTTCATCAAGCAAAGACTCCATTCCAATTGATCTTGTTGATCTAAACACTCAGAACCTAGATTCCCTTGATCTTGATACATACTAATCGATCAAACAACACCATTAAACTCTGAACACATCAAAACACCTGCCCATAAAGTTTGAATCCTAGATTCCCCCATTTGCCCGTCCGTCAAACAAAGATTCCGTTCTAAAAAATCTCGTTGAGCCAAATTCCTATGATCTTGGCCCCCAAGACAAATCAGACCTTACCATCAACTCGTAGACACCTTCAAATACCCACCTGTGAAATTTCAGCCCAAAACACCCCCATTTACCCTTAATCATCGCAAGATTCCATTCAAGGCTCTAGATTGACCGATTTCCAAATCTGCCAAATCCGGACTCATCTAAACCAATCTAGCCTTACCAATCACCTCAGACTACCCAAAAATCCTACCCTGTGAAATTTCATCCAAAACAAACCTTGTTTGCCCCTCGATCTCACAAAGATTCGGTTTCGATCCCTTAGATTAACCAAATCAAGCCCTTGCCAAATCTTCCCGATCCAGGACCATTTGGCCCAATTTGACCCCACCCTATGAAATTTCAGCCCTGAAGTGAACTATTGGTTTTTTTCGACGTTCACAATAGGTCCAATCTCTTCCATTAATAAAATACTAGTTTTTCCAATGCTTTTCTTTGTCATCTGCTTTTCGTTAAAGTGCTTATTCATGATTGAACAATAAGTCCTATTGGGTCTTATTACCTTTAGAAAAAGATGAAGATTCTTTTTTTACGAAAGATGCATAGTTAAAATCAGATAATTGTGAATTTGAAATAAGCTATAAAGGTATGTCTTTGTGAAAAGCTAATTGACAATCATTGACTCACATCTGGAAACATTCTTACCCAGTGAATAAAAGCACCGGTGCCCACTCTTATCCACCTCATTGGAAGGTAAACTACAACTTTAAATTCTCTTTTATTTTTGTTGTTCATTAAGTTTGTATTGTTTTTTTTTTTTGTAGAAACCAACCTCAATAGTAGTTGTATGGGTATTTTGGACATTTTCATGCATCTTTTTTAGAGGACCCTAACAAAGGGGATCTATTTGTAGCTATATTAGAAAGTTCATGGGAGATGATTGCAATTACCAAACTTTAGGGGAGGTTTTAGAATAAAAAAAACATCTGAATTCTTTTGCAATGGAAATAACCATATAAGTGTCAACAAATAACACATAAAATTGAAATCCTTTATTAGATAGTATTGGGGATGATTCAAAAACATTAGAGTATACCAAATCAAAAGGACCATTAACAACTATAGAAGACAGGGGGTAGAGATAACCTATGTCTCTTGCCCATTTGACAAGACTCGCACACTATGACCAAACTAACCAACATAAGGTAAACCATACTATGTCACAACTTGCTTCAAAACACATTGAGTAGGGTGTCTATGATGCTTATACCAATCTTTAATAGGGACACGTTTACCAAGCAGAGATGAAGGTGATTTATTGAAAGTAGAAGGCTGACTAGGCGAAGATACACTCCCCAAAAATCAATAAATGTTGTCTTTACTAAGTTCTTGTAGCATTGTTTCCCCATATAATCCTTCACAAGAAAATAATCACTATGAAATTTGAAGTACATATTATTGTCATGAGCAAATTTGTTAACAGATAATAAATTCATTGATAATTCAGGAACATGAAAGATATCATTCAAATTAAATTGATGGGAAGTAGGTTTAATAACAGATGAACCAACATGGCTGATATGCAAACTTGACCCATTTCTGACCATTTCTAAAGATTGTCTGCATCCAAGGTGATATGGTGTGTTTCCTCGCTATTAGGATACCAAGTGAGGTTAAATGAGGATGATGCACCATTGTGATACACAGTGGGTTCAACTTCTTTATTGTTAAAACTTAAATCATATTTGTGGCAACATTTTGTTGCTCCATGTCTAAGTTTATTACCAAACTGGCATACAATGTTGTTGTCATGACCCTTACCTCCATTACTGAAGGATGCCTAAAATATTATCAACCTCAAAGTCCTCTAATAATAATAGCAGTCAATAGCTAATTCATACTTTATTTGAAGCACAAAAAGTATATAAAGAATCATATCACTGGAAGGTATTGGTTTAGCCTTTCAAACATATTTAGATATGGACAAACCTCTTTTCTTGAGACTCTGTAGCTATCTCCCAACTTGAAGCAATCTAGAGTGTGAATAGTTTGCAAAAGACTTGGATGGCGCACTCCACACTTCACAAGAGTAATGATATATTGTAACTTATGTGGAAACACTTTCATTGAGGGAAGCAATGATCTAAGAGAGCGCCTATTGATGGGGAGAAACTGGGCCTTCCAAGCAACATAGCTATCACCATTAAGTTTGATGGGGAGAAAGTGTGTTATGTTGGAGATTTTAATGGTGGAGGAAAGGGTAGTCAAGGCATTGGAGGTTGTAGAAAGTGAGGGAGAAGAAGTAGATGTGCTATTGTTGGCCAAGGTATGGCTCTGATACCATAAAACGTTTTAGATATAATAAAATAAATAGAAATAAATATGAAGAACTAGAAAGAAGTAGAAAGAAGAAGAAAGAAGAGATGTATGAGAAGAACTAAACTGGTTAACTATAGCATTAGTTCCTAGGCTTATTTATAATTACAGATTTAGACTTCTAATAGGATACAAACACTAGACTTGTCTAGGCATATTTCAAAATAAGACTCTCGATAGAGTCCTTATCTCCAATACACCCCCTTAAACTCAATGATTTGGCCGTAATGTTGAGTTTGGCTTTGAGAGAGAGAAACTGGGGTCATGGTAATCATTTGGTGAAGATATTGGCCAACTGGTCGCAAGAGGAGATATATCGAACTAAGAGAGATCCATTTGTAACCCGATCTTGAATAAAATGGTAGTCTACCTCAACATGTTTGGTTCTAGCATGATACACCAGGTTGGCTCGTCTCTATATTATCACACCATGAGACTAGGAGAGAAGGCATCTAAACTCATGTAGGAGAGATTGAAGCCAAATGACTTCAGTAGTAAGATTAATAAGAGCTCGGAATTTGGCTTTAGTACTTGAACGAGCAATACTGAGTTGTTTGTGGGCTCTTCAAGAGACTAATTTGGAACCAAGAAAAACTACAAGGCATCTAGTAAAGTGCCTATCATCTTGGCACCCAAACTAGTTGGCATCACAATAACCATTGATAGTAGAGAAAGAATCAACATGAAAGATCAGTGTATCACTAATTATTCCATTTTAGTTCCTTAATATTCATTTGAAAAATTCCCAATGGGCATCTATTGGATTCTAAAGAAACTAGAAGTCCTTGTTAACACTAAAAGCATTATTTGGTCTAGTAGTGGTAGCATATTGGAGAGAACCAACAATGCTACAATATCTAGTGGGATCTTCAAGAGGAGTACTGTCATACTCAAAGAGAGATAGAGAAGTTTGACGGTATGGGAGTGGAGACTGGTTTGCATCCTTCCATCTTGCAAGGATGCAAAACATCTGAAGTATACTTTTGCTATGAAAGCTGAAGTCCTGTAGAAGTGAATTCAACTTCAATGCCCAAAAAATAGTGAAGAGTGCCAAGGTTTTTGATGGCAAAGATGGTGGCAAGTTGTGAGATGAAGTGAGAAATAGCATCACATTGTTTCTTGTGACTAGTAAATCATCCACATAGATAAGAGCATACAAGGAGATGTTGTTAGTAGGAAAAATGAAAAGAGAGGAATTGGATTTTGTAGCTTTAAATCCCATGTTGTGAAGGCAGGAACTTAATTTTGAGAACTAAGCCCGAGGAGCTTGTTTGAGTCCATATAATGCCTTCTTGAGTTTACAAACATAATTAGGGAATTAAGGGTCCTCAAAACCCTGAGGCTATCTCATATACACATCTTCAGATAACTCACTATTAGATAGTGTATGCCTTTAGCTCCAATCGATTGATGTATATAAATCATTATCAATGAATGAATAAAGTACATTATTGTTTCATGTTCTAATCGGTATGTTTTCTGTGAATTACTCCTTAAACTGGACACTTATGATACTCGTGTTAGTTAAAAATGTTTTCAATTGCTAGTGTTGGACACCAAGCACAACCAGTGAGTGTTTAGAAGAAACATTTAACCTGGACCAATTTCTAGTTATGCCTTAGACCTTGGAGATAGATGGGCAAAACTGGAAAGTTGCACTTAACCCCAAACGGTAGTGATACTACACTGGGTATTGGATTGAACTGTCTTTGATATGCCAACCAGTGACTCAAGGGTCAAATACCTAGGCATGTTGGGGTAATTTGGAAAATTACCTAAGTGGGTGATCATAGTGATATGATCGATCCCTTTGTTAGACAAAGTGAATATCAGGCTTATCACTCTTTGTGATGGAAACCTAAATTGGTAGTAATGGATTTCAATTGTATTTGAAATTTAATTTATAAAATGTATTTATAAGTTATATTACCATTTTATGAAAAAGGTTTGCAAAAGGTTTTAATCCCGGGATTCATCCGAACAGAGAGTGTGACATTGAATTTTGCATTCAGGGAAGAGGTCCTTCTTTGTGGGCAATGTTCTAATGATTATGGGCTGAGAGATTAGTTGTAAGAGACCATTACAAGGATGATTATTTAAAGGGATTTATCTTACATAAGTTCATTATCCTTAGGTCTTCATAGGGTGTTTGGATCCAACGATCATTTAGGTGTAAAGTTGGGCCCAAACTAAGCCCAAGTTGATTGGGTCAGGGGTTCACTACCCTAAGTAGTGAATTCTCGGCCTAACATCTTTTAGAAGTAGGGTCAAACCCCTATGGACTTGTGTGAGACCTTTGTGAGTCCCACACCATACAATATTTAGGCCCAAAATGGCCAAGCAACACCTTGGGATGTGAACCATTAAAGAAAATGGGCCTAGGTCCCTTTACTAATATGGTTAGTTAAGTGATCAAGTTGTCATGTGACTTGGATTGAAACTGAGCATGGATTTGGGTATGGAGCACCTATCATCTTAAGAGGATAATGCTTATCAATTAAAGATAGAGTATTGATCCAAATTTGATTTGGATCAGCTCCTAATTAGATTAGGAGAGTGCTCCATATAAAAGAGAAAGAGGGGAGGTTCCAATTGAACCAATTCTCTCCACTCTCTTGCTCTCTTTTCTTCTTGCTTGTCTCCTAGAAACCCTAATTCGACCTAGCTTTGATAAGGGTTGTTTTCTATTAGTCCTCCGTTGTCTTTTCACAAGAAAAATATTAGGGCACATTTGGTTCACATACCCTCTTTGATCCAAGAAAGTTGGAGACCAGATTTTGTTGAAACGGTGTTGCTGAATAGGCTTTACATACACACTATGCCATCTTCAGTGGGAGGTTGATTTTGGGACTAATATTGGGCATGAACTACCATTCTTGGAGCTACACATTGTGGTCTCTGTATCAGCTACGGTTAGCTTTAATTTGGGTTTCAAATCTGATTCGGTTCAATGCATGATCGAACAAGAAATTTCAGATTTCAAAATAATTAGGAAATTGTTTCTCGGGTTGGGTTAGAAAATTTTTGAAAATTTGGCCAACCATTAAGCCTGGTTTGGCCATGTCAAATTTGATTTCTAACCCTTCAAACACTCACCATGCAAGAAGGTATTATTCACTTCCAATTGGCGTATGGGCAAGTTATTAGAGACAATAGTGCTAAGAATAGTCCTTATAGTAGCAGGTTTCACAACGGGACTGAAAGTCTCACCAACGTCAATACTGGGCTACTGAGTGAAAACCTATACTACAAGTTGGGCTTTGTAACTTTGAAGGCTACCATCCACATTTTGTTTAATTTTATATATCCATTTGTAGCCAATAATGTTCATATTACTAGTATAGGGAACCAATGTCCATGTGCCATTCTTCATGAGAGCATTAAATTCTTCACACATGGCCTGATGCCATCCAACATGCTTCTTAGCTTGTGAGGAACAAGATGACTCAGGTAAAACATTTGAATACTAAGAGATCAATACCTCCGTCAAGGGGTGTTTAGTAGCCAACAAGGATGAGCCTTACATTTGGGACCTAGTAACTATGGGGTGAGACCAAATTGAGTTAGGTATAGGTGTCATCGTTCTCATAATGGATTCGATATTTCTCATCTTGGGTGCAACAGGAGGCAAAGAAGATGGTGATGGTGAAGGTGGGGATGAGGGAGGAATAGGTGAAGGTGATGTTGGTGTTGCAACCTCAACTAAGGAAGAAGAGGTTGTGAGTGGTAGATGGCCCCTAAACATCTAAATAAATCAATTCTAATGGTGCTAATGAATGAAGATGACTAGTAGTATATGGAAGATGATGACAAAACTGAAAGTTGTCATAGACAGAAGGAAGACCAACGGAATTAAGAATTTGCTTTAAAATCTTCAAAGTTGGATGCCCCAAACAAAGATTCCATGAGTCAACAGAAGCATTAGTAACAAAAGGTAAAGGAGATGATGCATCCATATGTGAAAGTTGATAGAGTCCATTTTTACTGGGGCTTGCATAAAGAGCTTTCTTGAGGATCGATCCTTTACTAGAAAATAAGGTGGGTGAAATTTAAAGAAATAGTTATTGTCACGAGAAAATTGGCTAACAGGGAGAAGATTTTTTGTAATGTGAGGAACATAATCCAGACTTGTTCCATTACCAATAAGGATCTAATTAGTCTCRGAATATTCAAATCGAGCTTGCAAGTTGTTCACATCTAGAGTCAAGTGATGAGAAGATTTTTTGTAATGTGGGGAACATAATCCAGACTTGTTCCATTACCAATAAGGATCTAATTAGTCTCRGAATATTCAAATCGAGCTTGCAAGTTGTTCACATCTAGAGTCAAGTGATGAGAAGATTTTTTGTAATGTGGGGAACATAATCCAGACTTGTTCCATTACCAATAAGGATCTAATTAGTCTYAGAATATTCAAATCGAGCTTGCAAGTTGTTCACATCTAGAGTCAARTGATGAGAAGMWYTWTWGTMWGGAKRCCAATTAGWGTCCAATTGTGATTGAGTAGTACTAGCTTGATAGGCATTGGACTGAATTGAAGGAGGTTGTTCTTTGGTGAAGAAAATATTGAATCGCCTAGAACAAGATAGTGTAGTGTAGTTGGCCTTGTTGCACAATTGACATCGAAAATACTAGCTTTTGTTGCCCATTCTACTAATATGTATAGCCACCATGACCACATCCCCTTCCTCAGCCTTGGCCTCTAGAATTGGGCTGAAAGCTGTTTCTTTGAGGAAAGCCATTTGGGGACGGGGTCTGACGCCTATATTACTCACCTGTTGTTATTTGTTAGCTACATTAACACTCGGACTAGACAAATCAATTATAGAATGCTGTTGTGAAAGCCATGACTCATGATTCAACAATTGTCCATATAAATCAGATAGTGTAGCAAAGGCAAAATTAGATTTAGTAGTGAAAATGGTGATAAAAAATCATAACCTGAACCTAAACCACTAAGAATACTGAGAAGAAGACCTTTGTTGTGTACAGGCTCAGAAGTAGCTATCAGTTGTTCTACTATAGTTTTCACCTTCTCTGTGTATTCGGTGATAATCAAGCTTCCCTTCTTTTGTGACATAGTTGCATTCGTAACTGAAGCAACCGGGACAGTGAGGAAGATGCATAGACTTCTCGTGAGGTTTTTAAGCCAACCACCTTTCCAATAATGCCTTCGATGAGTGAGGAGATGATCCAACTCATTATGAGTTGATCGAGTCTAGCCCATGCTGAATATTGTGGGTGCGGCACTTGTTAACCATTGGTTGTGACTTCTTTAGGCAGGCATGTAGAGAACCATCAACAATCCCATCGAATCTCATGAGTTCTGAATATGGGTAAAAGCTAGGCATTCCAAGCAACATAGTTGTCGCCATTAAGTTTGATGGGGAGAAAGTGTGTTATGTTGGAGACATTAATGGAGGAGGAAACGGCAGTCAAGGCATTGGAGGTTGTAGAAGGTGAGGGAGAAGAAGCAAATGCGCTAGTGTTGGCCAAGGTATGGCTCTAATCCCATAAAACGTTTTACATATAATAAAGTAAACAGAAAGAAATAGGAAGAACTAGAAAGAATAAGAAGATGAAGATGAAGAAGAAAGAAGAGATGTATGAGAAGAACTGAAATGGTTGACTATAGCATTAGTGTCTAGGCTTATTTATAATTATAGATAGATACAAATATCAGTCTTGTAGATAGACTAGGATTATCATCATGTTTTATCCTATATCCTATTATATTTCGAAGTAGAACTCTCAATACAATAGATTCATCATCTCCGATACCTCTCTTGTATAGACTAAGGGTCCGTTTGGTTCTTAGTTAGAATCGGAATGAGAATACTCTATTCCCATACTTCATTTGGTTCAGATAGGAATAAAATGGGAATTGAAATCAATTGGAATGGGATTTCATTCCCAAGGGAGGGGGAGGGAATGGCCATTCTCTCAAGGGGGAAAACCACTCCACCAAGAATGGGAATGTGATTCCAATTCCACCCAACCAAACAGTTGGAACTGAAAATGAACCATATTGTGATTCTGATTCCAGACCCCTATTCCCGCAAACCAAATGGACCCTAATTTTATTTGACAATGATTAATAAAAATTAAAGATGATCACCCCTCCACCTGACTAAAAAACTTGGAATACATGCAAGATTAATTAGGATTTGAGGACTAAAATATACCCTTCATAATTAAGGCTCCCTATACGTTGATCTTGAA